GGTGTTCCTACTAATTGCACTAACCATCAATGTTCTCCTCCTGTCATATGCTACCTGAAGACAGACTGACATAGCTGGTGAACCATTGCTCTTTCTGTTCCGGTGGATCTATACTGATGTGATGATGCGTGGATTGGTAATGGCAATGGCTCTGGACTGAGATGTCCACCAAAGCTAAAAATTACTCTGTGCTTCAGAAATGTGCTGTAACTGAAAACATCACTGCGTGGTGATGTGAAATCACTGTGTGATTTCCAGGGATTTGCATCTCATCAGATAAGAAAATCAGCAAGACACAAGGCCTCTGTGCAAAGAGGAACAAAGACACCAGCATTTCCTCAACACCTGAATGGCTTCTGGAGGACTGTCATATATTTTGTTACGTGGTTTGGCTCCGGACAGAAGGCATAGAGAGAAGACGTGTATATATATATATATATATATATATATACTTAAGTGCAAGGATTTAATAAAACCCCAATATATGCTTAGTCCTAATTATTTACATGAACATTAGACCTGGACCACATTGATTCCTTGTCAAACATGATTCAAGTCTTCCCATAATATTATTATTATAGATGGAAAATTGTCTGTTTTTCCATCAAGTGTTGACAGATGATAGCTTCTACTTCGCTGCTTTTATGAATTTGTTTAGAGCAAATGATTGAATATAATTTCAGGTGTATGCATAAATGGTCTTACATCCAAAGGAATCCCATGCCAAGGCATCATGTCCGATGGGATAAAACTCTAATATGGCACAGCTCCCTCACACACAGGTTAAACTCCAAATTGAAGACAGTCTGTGCTGTAAAAATAATTGGCTTCCCGTTCTTGTAAACTGTTTCCTTCTTTAGACTGTTAACTTGAAAACGCTAAGAACTGATGGCACAGAGGGGTAATGAGAACTGATTTAACTGGAAAAAAATATGCTTTTAACCACTTGCTTGGATTTTTAGGTTGCAACAGTACTACTTATGAATGAAGTAATATGTACCTAACATACCTGCTGTGTAACTAGCCATTAGCCTCATAGAAGAGTCAGGCTTTAATTTCTGTTCTTTAGTTAATTGACGTGGTGTGTCTCCGGCAAGTTACCGGCTCTGAATCACGGAAGACCACGCACACACCCGTGTCTTTGGACCCCCGACGCAGGTCCCAGCTGGCCGCGCCCGGAGGCGGAGCTGAGGCCTTCCCAAACAGGGAAGGCCCCAAACCTTTCGCAGTTCCTGCCGGGGCGATAGGGCAGAAACACGTCGGTGTCCCGCAGTGCTGACCGCATCCCTGTGCCTACGGGAGGACACCATCGGCC